TTGTCCATAAACGATGATCAATCGACTTGACTTCTACAAAGAATGAGGATTATCAATGGAAGGAAAATCGATAACGGAGTTTGAATAACAATTGATTAATTCAAGATTTTGTTATCCAACAAAAAGTGGGGCAAATCAACGAATACTTAAATTCAATTTCAATGGAGTTATTCGAAAATGGATATTGGAAATAGGCAGAACAATGGTGAAAGGCGTTTGAAAGAACAAGAGAGAGATGACACTTCGTATTTTTTCAATTGTAACTGATTAGAGATTTAAGTGATATTACCTTTTTGAAATATTTTTTTCCATGATTTTCTCCATTCTGTTGTTAAAGATTTGTATTCTTTCAAATTAAATGAATTAAATAAATACAAAAGTCAGTCTGATAGCAAACCAAAATATTGACATTTTAAATAAATATTGAAAGTGTTGACAATGGGTCCTATTAAATGCTAAAATATTGTTGTTTTGAAAATTTTCCATAAACATATTCTTGACTTTTCATTGAAACCCTCTAATTTTAATGAAACTATGTCAATGTGGATGTTATTAATTATTTTCATATTTCGAAGGCTACGATCGATTTTAAGAATTGACCCATATGAATTTCTCAATCACAAAAAAAAAAAAAAATTAAAAATATTTCCCCTTTGACAATTTAAACTTTTATTAGATAGATTACACATTTCAATTTGATATTAGAGCCGAATTTATTCATATTTTTTATTTAAACAATTTATCCACGGACCTCACATTATATATCTAATTTTGAATGTACAATAGGATATTGAACAGACCATATTAATTCAAGTACAATAAATATGTATTATTTTTGGACTATCCTCACTTTTTGAGATTTATTATATCATTTATTTGGTAAGTATCAAAAGAGTAACACTTAATGAAATAAAAATAAAAATAAAAATTAAAAATAGTTGAACTCCTTCCCATCAAGCAAAAGAGCAAACATTCAAATCATTATTGCATATTCGAATTCAAGATCTCTGATTAAGAATGAAACAGTTCCATCACTATATCATAACCTATGTTGGTGATCGTTCGGGTAGTTGTTACTAGCATTCTTTGCCTTTTTGTTATTCTAAGCTATATTTTATGACTTGTCTATTTGATGCCATGGCACCCTAACGACCCAACCTCTTATATAAATTCATTCTTGTATATTATTCGCACTTTGAATATGTTCTCTCATGCATCTGAAATATGTATTATATAAACTTTTCTAATAAAACGACTTTATTAATATTAAATACAAACTTATATTTCTTATTTAATAAATATATCAATATCAATATCAATATCAATAAATAAAAAGCAAATCCAAAACTAGATAAGGAGTTACATTCAAGAGAGGAACATCAGCTTCTTGGAGAGATGGAAGGTCTTACAATAGGTGGAGCAACTCCTTGTGTTTCTTCATCACTTCGTAGAATCTCTTCCAAAACAACCAATTTTGCCTCCAGACTTACCCCAAAAGCCGTCAAGAAGCACAGCCTAGCCGCATTTCAACCAGCATTTCATCTTTTCTCAACAAATGTCCCCAAAAGGCACATTAAAGCTCGTATATTCTTACCCCATTTGGTTGCTTCTATGGTAAGAACTTCGATTTCAACAATTTTTGATTACCCATTGAAGATTTTGGCCAACCCCACTTTCTCTTTTCTTCTTATGAATTCTGTCCCTATAGAAAAATTGATGACTTGGGTTAAAAAAAGTGTAATTTTTGTTAAATTTTCCAAATGGGTATAGAGGATTTTGTAATGCAGGCCCTCAACTGATTTAGGATTGAGGCTTTGCTGATTGATTGATTAATTTTTTGTTGTGTTTGGGGATTTTGTGTTCAGGAAGAAGTGGAGCAGACTTATATCATGATTAAGCCTGATGGTGTTCAAAGAGGCCTTGTACGCTTCAGTATATTCTTCTTTCTTTGAGTTTGGATTACTAGAAAGACTTTAACTTTATGTTTTTGGCCAGGTTTTTTGATTTTCTGTTTGAATGTTGAAGACATGTTTCCTTAATTGTTATAGGTTGGAGAAATTCTATCCAGATTTGAGAAAAAAGGGTTTAAGCTTACTGGATTAAAGCTTTTTCAGTGCCCCAAAGAATTAGCAGAGGTTTGCTTTCATGAGCTTTACTTGGGTGTCAATAATTCTTTTTCAAGAATTGGCATTTCCATGCACTATTTTGTGTTCTTGTTCCTCTCTTGTAGGATTTGCACTGCTCCCTTGTTAGTTGCTATGTTTTCTTATTCTTTGTACTTGGATTTGCTACACTTGAGCCAAGACCCGAGGGTCTTTCGGAAACAACCTCTCTACCTCCACGAGGTAGTGGTAAGGTCTGCGTACACTTTACCTTCCTCAGACCCCACTTATGGGATTCCACGGGGTATGCTGTTGTTGACATTTCCATGCAAGCATACTCTGGGATCCCACAACCCCCGCTGAAAAAAAGAAAAAAGGAAGAGAGCATGGTCTAAGAGATTCATTAACTGTTTTCTTTCAGATGTCCAAAAGTTTTCCTCTATCTGAGGAGGTTCATTTAATTCACTGGTTACCCTTTATAACTGCAATGAATGCTAGGAACCAATACAATACTCTTGGTTCCAGTTGACTCACATAAAGATTGGAATTGTAAAGTTGGACAAAATCCAATTTCAAAATTTGTATGTTGTTTGGACTACAAGACATTAAACTAGTAGGAAAAACAAATAATTTATGTAATAGTTAAGGAGTGGAAGGTTTATGTACCAGAAGAAATCTTTAAGGGTGGGCGGGGTTGGGTGCCAAGGGAGCTTCTTACTAGCCAGTTGCTTCTATTTACACTGTTGAGAATTCTATTGTTTTTTTTAACAGCACTATGATTATCTTTGCTTTATCAACCAAAAGAGAATTAAAATTGCCAAGTCAATTCATTCCTATTAACTGTGCCGTGAGGTAAAGTTGCTTAGAAGTTTTCAATTGTTACAGGAGCATTACAAGGATCTACAGTCCAAACCGTTCTTCCCCAAGCTGATTGACTACATTACATCTGGTCCGGTTGTCTGTATGGTAGAGTTTCTTCTCATTTTTTTCATTCACTAAGTCAAACCAACCAAATATATCAGCAATCTGAAAATTGAGTTTTAAACTGTATACGTCTCCTACAGTCTCTATGTTTTCCTAATCTTGTAAATTGTATCTACCTTTGGCAAGGGTTGGGAGGGTGTTGGTGTTGTTGCTTCAGCACGTAAGCTAATAGGAGCAACTAATCCTCTTAATGCTGAGCCAGGCACAATTAGAGGAGACCTTGCTGTTCAAACTGGAAGGTACGGCCATATATAGTTATTATTTTATTTCTGTTTATGTTCAGCAAGTACCGAGTCATGGATTCTGATGGCAATCTATGTGCAGAAATGTGGTACATGGAAGTGATAGCCCTGACAATGGCAAGCGTGAAATAGGTAAGAGTTTTCCTAATCTAGCAAAACTAGTTGAGTAGCATGTAGAATTAACTTAATGTGACCTCCCCCACATGTTAATAAGTTTGGTCATCCGCCTTTGAGCTGTTGCTAGACATGAATGAGACTTACATCAGAATCTTTACAGAAAGCAGTGGTGATTTCAGAGTTCATTTTTAGTATCTATGAGTAGTATCAAAGGAAAGAGCAAGAGTTCTTTTTGTTTTCTTCTTTTTGATAATTTTTTCTCGATAAAGTAAGGTAATATTATTAAAGAGGTACTACAAAATTAAAGCAAAATGTCCAATATGAAGTTGATTTCACAATGACATTGTACTTGTTGCTCTTTTTTAGCAATCCTTTTTTAGTTAATAATATCTTACATGTAGGTTTTGTTGAGACCACCTACAACTAGGATGTGTGTTCCATTAACATGGCTGACTAGTTGTTTTTTGCCCTCTAATATAAGATTTGTCTACTGATATAGTGAGTAATGAGTGGTAGTTCTTGGAAATTCTTTCTCTTGCAAATGAAGCTGAAAACTTATCTTCTAGATAAAACTAAGTTGGCCTTGATTCTCATTTAATCGGCGCTTTTCTTTATGTTTCCTTGCTGCAGGTCTTTGGTTTAAAGAAGGTGAATTATGTGCATGGACAGCAGTTCAAGAACCTTGGTTGGTGGAATAATACCTTAGCGTTATATGACTCTTTCATTGAAGTTTTGGAGGTTTGAGCTTAACTGTAAGAGATCCAGAGTGATATCACTTATTCGGCGTCTGTAATACGAAAATACAAGCACGTTATTGTATTATTTTTGGCATGGTTGGCCTGTTCATAAAAAGAGGGCCACTACTGGATTCTTATTTTTTCCAACTTGATGTCTAACTGCAGAATTAAGTTTGTAATTGTTATGTTGGTTGTTAACTCATTCTAGTTCTCAAGGTACTCTACATTTTCCTTGCAAATGGAAGACATAGGCAGTAGCAGCAAAGTCCACATTCTCCTTCTGCTACATTTATCTTAGATTCTGGTAGTGCCCTTTCTCAAATAGTTCTGGTTTTCAGATAGTAACAAAACAATAACCTCCTTTGTTACCTACTTTCAAGTGCTCTGAATTTCTGTCATGCTGCTTGATTGAATATTTTTTCCCGATTCATTCTGTAAAATAAGCTCCAAGGATATACATAGAACAGAAAAATAACAATAGATGAATTGCTCAAAAAGATACAGCAGCTTACATAAAGTTGCCTGATATGAACATACAGGCAATAACCCTCTCCACTACGGTCCCAAAACCGCTTCTCTTGCTATCCTTTTTCTGTTAAGAATATTGTCATGGAGTTTATCTTGTTGAGGACAAGCTAGCTAGAGAAAGCAGTTCAAATATTCATCTGCCATCTCGCACCTTTGGAATGAGGAGAATACCTCACTTCAAGAATTCTTGAAAAGGAATATACACTATACCGAGTAAACATAATATGCAGTTTTGGTCGAGTAGTAGGAGGCAGCATAGTTTGTAGCCATGGTGAACTCAAGCAACAAAACACCACTACGATTGCTTTTCCATTCACAAAAGCTGCTTCCTAGTAAAATGATATAGAAGTTACCCCCATCTGGCATTAAAATTAAGAGGAAGGTTTCTATGCAGAGTACAATTGAATATTGTATGTAAGAATGAAGAAGGAAATTCCAAGAACGAGTTACTGTTTCCCGTCTCCAGATTCTGTATCTTGCTTCTGACTGTCACTGCTGTGCGTGTTGCTTTGCATTTCAAGCAGTTTCTGTTGCTCCTCCTCCTCCGCAGATACTTGTGGATTTACATCTTTCACATCCTTAGGCTTGTTGCTTGTAGACTGCTGGTACATAACGCCACCAGACATGCAGATCAACAGCCCCACTGTTCCAATAAGTTTGGAGTGTTTATCCCATATGACTAGATTTATCACCACTGTCAAAAGTTTATTAACTATGCCAAGAACAGTAAATCCTGTTGCAGAGATTGCTCTACGACAAGAAAATCCAAAGAAAGAGATGGCTAAACCAAACAAACACGACAGGGCTACTGGTAAAACCACTTGAAAGCTGTGCCAATCTGACTCATCCTCAATTTCATGCTTAATCTTCTTCAATTCACCCATGATAAGGAGCTCTATAGGAAAAAGCAACAAAGCCTCAAGATTGTTGTACAGCACAAGACCCCATGTGTTCAGACCAATTGTCATAACCACGTGCTTGATGTAAACAAAATCAATAGACATGCTCACTAAATATGCCAAGGCCCAGCTGTAAGCTGTAAGCGTGAACTGGTAATCTGTACTGACATACAGCACGCTACCAGCAAAGATTGTACCAAGTGACAACCACGTTTTCATTGCTGGCCACGGCTGGTGCAAGTAGAGGGTCTCTCCTATTGCAACAAAGATGGGGACTGCTGATCTGAAGACAATAAAAGTATCAACATTGGCATGGAGGAGAAGCTCACTGTTCGTGAAAAGAGATAGGTAGAATATAATTGCTGCAGGTAGGAATCGCCACATTGTTCGAAGATCAAGTTTATCGGGTTCTATAAGCTTGAGCCATCCGCACATGAGAACTCCAGCTACACTTGTGAAGTACTGCAATGCAGTTAGTGCTCCGGGGTAAGGAAATTTCATTATGGCCCACTTGTTAATGATGGAGAGCAATGATGCTGAAAGACAGTACCCTGCAGCTATACCATAAACGGATGCCTGCTCAAGTAAGCTACTATACCAACTTGGTTGGTGACTGGAAGACGGTGAAGAAGCATCCAAAGACGTTCTGGCATCTCCACCTTCAGGATCTTCCGCATCATTTGACATTTTAATCTAATAAACAAGAAAGGGGGGAAATTTCTATAAGTTATCAATTAACCATTAACAACTAAAATAGTTTACCCTTCATGCAAGCTAACCTTGCTGCTGCTTTTTTTTTTTTTTTTGACAAGTAAAGGTACTATTAATATAAACTCAAGACCAAGCTGGTACTGCAACAAAGTACAACAAAGCTAGATACAATCTTCTAAAGCTGTAACAAAACCAGAAAATCCAGCATTTCATCAAAATCATTTGAAATTTAGCATTACACCAAATTTGAACTCTGGATGCATCTATCCTTAGCAACAAAATGTTCTCTCCCTTCCCCTCAAAACATCTTTTGATCCTCTCAAGCCAAAGTTATGTACCACAATATGCAGAAACAATAGTTTTGCTATGTGCATCAACCACTTTACACTTTATCTAGTGGCGGATCATCCTTATACGGTTATACTGCAGTCCTTAAGAGGATGTGCTTCATAACATGTAGAAAATGGATCTCTTATTCCATTTATGTTCAATGAATCCAGAAATAGCTTTTATTTCAGTATTTCCACTACACTAATGAAATGAGCTAAAACTTTACCCCATTCAAGCTATTTTTGTCTATTTCCTAAGCAGCTAAACTATAATGCACTGATTCTCCCCCCTGTTGTGATACTGCATTTGTTTTAGCCACAAGAAAATCAGAAGGGCCAGTAGCTCTAAACCTCTAATCCGGGATCCATTTGCAAGCTCACAAATAATCTCATTACCTTCCTGAGAAAGATCACGTCCTTCATTACAAGCTTGTACACATGCTTCTAGAGCTACTCAATTATTAAATCTGGGAACAAAATGGAATGATCTAAAACATCAGCTTCCCCTTCAATGCTACTACAGAATGCATTACTCTTCAGGCGAAAAATGCAATTCAGCCATTTACAGAAAGTCCACTATATTTGATGTCCTAACTATCAAGCCCCCTATTTATTACATCTGCGTTCTCTGTGGAAAAGACATGCTGTCACTAGGATGTTTTAACATTATCTACATTTCAATGAATTTGATTTGAGGTTCCAATTTTACTACCACCACCAAAGATCTATCAACATTGCAGGCTGCATCTGCTATACTAAAGTTACATAAAAGTACACATTACTCAACCTAACACATTTCTCTATGAACGGATGAAAAACAGGAAATACACATCATATAGTATTCGAAGAATAGCATTGAATTGCCAATAGTCCCCTTATGCCTCAGATGCATACCTTAAGCTGAAAATAATTTCAAATCCTTCAAAATCACTTGCACTCACTAGTTCTCCAGGAGCAGTAGGCTGCATAAAATTAGCTTACTTCAGAAAAAATTAACAAAACATAGTCGAAAAGCTTATAAATTGATAAATTTATATTGAATCCGCATCCATTTTGACACCGAAAATAACAATGGATACAGTAGTATTCCAAAATGTAGAGCTAGATCCACTTCTGGAAGAAGGAACTGACCAATTAAACGGTAGAAGGACGGTTGCCGGAGACAATCCGACAACGGCGCCGGTGGCTCGTAAACCAGAGAGTGTCTGTGAGAGAGAGAACAGGGGAGGTGGGAAATGAAAGTGAGCATAATCGTTACTAGGCCTTCGAACTTTTTCTCAATGTCAAAAATGATTCCTCAAGTTATTTAAAATAACAAACAAGCCCTCAAGTTAAACAATTACAGCTCGTACTCTTTAAATTTAGAAGTTAAATCTCATTTGCGTGCAAATTTTACTTGGAAACAAAAAGGCACAAATTTTATTTTTCAATTTGGAATTTGTAGTCAAGGATGGCAAGATGCTCCAATTATTGTAGTCCTAATCCACAATATTATCAGCTGCAAATTTGGCTTAAATACATGAACTTATACCTTATGTAGTTTTATATCGTAATAAGAAATAATATAAGTCTTATAACACAAAATATTCATGGGATTCTTTTCCAATATTTGTTAGAACACTCCTAGGAATCCTCTATTGCATTCTTACAACTATATGCACCAACCTATTTGAGTCCATATGTATTTGAATGTTGAAAATCTTTTTTAGTAAATTATAGTCTAGTGGTATCAGTGAGAGTCCCGCACACAATAATAGATGTAAGTTCAATTTTCATCATACATATTCCCCTATGGGCACTGTAACAGATTGATTTATCATAACTTAATTTTATCTTTTGCATTTGGATCATGCGTCTTGATAGTTGTTATTAATTATTTGGATGATTATTCCTTAGAGCATTGGCTACACTTGCCACTTCACTAATGCAATATGCTTTTTATAAAAATTACAAGAGAAAAAAAGTGACAAGAATCTCTAACATATAGCCAAATAAATAAGCCAAAGTTGATAACTTAGTTTTGACATAGTCATAAATTGGAATTAACATTTTTGTAGTAATTTTCTCTTGCAGTCCCTGTGTAACTAGTATATAGATCAACTCATAAATTTCAAGACTCAACAACAAATTAGCAATAATATTAGCTAATTAATTGACCCACAATGGTTATGATTACTGCTACTACTAGTGTTGAAGTTGTGTCTAGGGAGACAATTAAACCATTATGTCCAACACCAAATCACCTTAGAAACTATATTCTATCTTCTATTGATCAAAATTCTCCTCCCATTTACATCCCTGTGCTACTTTTCTACCTTAATAATACAACTATTAACACTAATGAAAAGTTATTTATGTTGAAGAAATCATTAGGTGAGTGCCTAAGTGAGTACTATCCATTGGCTGGCACATTTAGAGATGACTATTCTGTTGTTGAATGCAATGATGATGGGGCAGAGTTCATTGAAGCTAGAGTTAATTGTGATATTTCACAAATCATTGGAACTTCAAATGTGAAGTTGTTGAACCAGTTGTTGCCATTTGAATCCACTGGCAATTGGAGTAAGCTCAAGGGGAAAACATATGAGAGGGAAGTGCTTGTTGCTGCTCAAGCCAATTTATTCAGGTATGGCTTCTTCTTCTTCTTCTTCTACATAGAGGTACTAGGGCAGTGGCGTGACCATGATTTTCACTAATCGCTAAGGAGATTCAATAACTACTTATATATTCATAAAAAATAGTTTACCTTATATTATTCAGAGGCGAACACATAATTTGAAAACTTCGGGTGCACCAAATATGATCTCTAAGCTAAACTTAAAATAAAAATAATGAAATCGCGGCTAGTTGGATTCAAACCCTAATCTCGTGGGTGGCTCCTCTGCCTTGTACTAACAACACAAGAACACTACTATGCTTCTCATGGATGCACAGTTAATTATATCCTAGTTTCTGTCAGTTTCTCAAGATAGATATACATATATACACATGATTTTCTTCGAAGTTAACGGATGCACAATAACGGTGGGTCCGCCTCTGCCTTCTATACTTTAGAATGTTGAGACATGATATAATTAAGTAGAGTAATTAAAAGCATATATTCTCTCGTAGACTAAGCTATTAAATGAGAAGAGAGCACTTTGACGGAACGTGTTTGACTCATGAAAAAAGAATCTTGATTATATTTTTTGAATCTTTTCTTCAGGTGTGATGGTTTGGCTATTGGTGTGTGCATTTCTCATAAAATTGCTGATGGCACTTCAGTAGTTGCTTTCTTGAATTCATGGGCTTCCAAATCTTTAAATAACTATCATGGTTATAATGCTAATATTGTCCCTCCTCCTATCTTTGATTCAGCAAGAAATTTCCCTCCTAGAGAAATGCCCCGTTATTCTCATGACATTGGGATAACTAACAAAACAATCGTTACAAAAAGATTTATTTTCGATTCATCATCTATACTAGCCCTGAAAAAACAAGCATCAACCACGATTATTGATTCATCAGATGAAAATATCAAGTTTCCAACTCGAGTCCAAGCCGTTTCATCTCTCATATGGAGTCGCGTCCTTGCCCTTTATAGATCAAAGCCAACATACGCGAAAATTTGTGTAGCAGTTCATGCAGTGAACATAAGGCCAAGGATGGAACCACTAGTCCCTAATCACACATTTGGAAATTATTGGACAGTTGCTATAGCCCCTGCAGTGGTAAAAACAGAGCAAAATGCAGGGGAAATAAGTAGTGACATAACAATATTGGTTGAAAAAATGAACAAATCAATTAGGAATATCAATGCAGGTTGTGTGAAAAATATGAACGTTGTTGCTGCACCCGTGTCAAATTCTCTAAAAATGCATAGCTTTTCAAAGACCGGACACACACGTGACAGTAATTTTGAAGAGTCTGAACAACATAGGTCGAGATTGAATGATAATTCAGTTGAAAAAACCGTGAAAGCTTTTTCAAAGGGGGATTTAGAAGTGTGCAATTTTACAAGTTGGTGTAGATTCCCAGTGTATGAAGTGGATTTTGGATGGGGGAAACCTGAATGGGTTTGTAGTCCAATTAAATCTTTCAAGAATTTGGTGATATTAATGGGAACTAAAGATGGAGATGGCATTGAGGCATCAGTTAATTTGTTGGAAGAGGACATGCCCCTTTTTGAAAATGATCCACAGATTCTTGCTTTTGCTAATTATTGCCCATGATTCAAGAATCAAAGTGACTTGGATTTTGAAGCTTTCTGGCATTAGTGTCTTTTGTTAGTTATTACTCGTTCCATTTCAATTTGTTTGTCAGATTTTGACTTGACACAAAATTTAAGAGAGTAAAGAATATTTTTGGATCTTGTGGTATTACCAAAATGTCATTTAATCTTGTGGTATTATATATGTTACATGAAAAGTTGAAATTTAAATTATTGACAAATCAAGAAAAGAGACATTCTTTTTTCAAACGAACTTGAGAAAAAAAAGATAAACAAATTGAAACGGAAGGTGTTTTCTCACAATAGACTCACTAATGCTTCATTTCATCTATTAGTAGTATAATTTGCCAGTTACTCCTTTGTTTCAGGACATAAAACTGAAACAAACAATAAGAACGGTTTTTTTTGGGCTCAAACTAATTATATATGCCTTGAAAATTCACTAAACAAGTATAAATTATAAATTTCGAATCCAATAAACCGAATCGGCTGTGATAGAATCCTAAATTCGAATCTATAACATTCAAATCATGAATCTATCTCTGGCCAAAAGGAACTAGCAACAACTTATCCAAAAAAAAAAAGTACTACCATTCTTCTATATACCATAAGGAACATACATTGAACTCTTGACACCAATTTTAAAAAAACAAAGAGTGTCATATAAAATGAAACAGAGACGAATAATTATTAGTGACTGCATATCGTTAATATTTTGGTTAACAAGGTGGTGATAATCTATAATTAATTTTTCTATAGGTGATGGGAGGAGGCACAAGCAATACAAGCAAGCAAAAGAATAGCAGAAGAAGCACCATCTTCTTCAACATTAGAGCTGCTCCTCTTGAACTTGTTTGTTTTTCCTTTGTTGCATTGCATCAATTGCTTTTGTACTTGGTAATTTTTCACCTCCTGTTGTTGCCTTATTTTCATTGCTTCTTCCACTCTTGACACCATTTTATTTGTTTTGTTTTCAAAGAAACTAGCTGGTGATTTTTTTTTTTGAATTTGAAAGACTTAGTTGGGAAATTAACACTGATGTGCCTTCTTGTTATATAGGCCTCATCAGTAGCCACTAAGTGCCAAATGTGTAATAATGGAAGTGTGGATAGAAATTTAAAGTAATTAAACTAAAGTGGAGTATTAAAATATTTGCTATATATCTCTCTATATATAAAAATTAAATAATTGTTGGATTTTGTATCTTCCCTTAGCCCATTTGAACATGTCTGTTTGTATAAGTTAAAATAAAGGGATAAATAAAATCAATATTTTTGGGTTTGGGTGATCTAGTTTGTAAAATAGCCAGTAAATATGTTTTGTATATTTAAGTATAATCATATACATATACTATACATATAATATACCTGATCAATATATATATTTAAATTTGGTCGAATTGTACATATTGATAGGATTTCCATAAATAAATACATATATATTGTATGTATGTATGTTTACCGACCTCTGTTGTTTTCAGTGAAGAAACTAGCTACTACTTGGATAATTTGGTAAGATATTGTAAAATTAATTGGTATATATATAGATTTTTTTTAATTTCCCGAGTGCTATCCATTACTTGTTTTAGGATCTTGATTAGTCCGAATTTACCTCATGTGAGGTCTATTAAGAGAGAATTGTTTTTAATAGAGTTTTTTTTTTATATTCTAATGACTAAAAACCCAAATTAAGAACGAAAACATCATATCCGTCCCACCATCGAAATTTGTTGGTTAAGTGGTACAATACATAATCAGATATTCTCAACATTTATGTAAAGTGGAAAACATAGATTTTTGGCATCCATATTCATAGCTTTTCATAGGTGAAAGTTGAAATAGTAACATAGAAAAAAGCCTAATTTAATAGCCACAATTTAAACTTCCTCCCACCAAGAACCAACCTAACAAAAAGCACAGAAAAGGAAGTTGGAAAAGATAAAGGCTGCCATGGCAACGGTTATTGCAGCTGGAATAGTAATCATCACTGCTCCTCATTCAATTCTAAGGAGGGAAATTAAAAATCAATAACACCTTGTTATAATACAGTCAAATCTCTCGTGTTTCGATATTTTTTTAAATTATTTGGATAAAATATTATTAAAGAGAACATATAATATAACATAGTATGAAAGATTAGCTTTTTTTTTAAAAAAAAAAACATAATTAGCATGATAAATTATTACTATACAGAATGATTGTTATAGAGAAATTTGAATGTATAACTAAAATATAAACAATAGAAATTAAGTTTATTATTTTATTAACTCTTATTAAAGCTGATTAATTATTTAGAAATTATTCCTTTTTCTATAGATAATTTTTTTTAAAAAGAATTCAAAACTATAAATAAATAGACAAGTATTTTTCAGTCAAAGTGCCACGTGATTTGGGAAACAATTGATTCAACTCCTTTAGTCGATGAGAACAACAAGGAGGATCGATGAGATTCATCCAATTGGGGAAATATTTCAATATGAGTACAATGTACTTGTATTTAAAAAACAAATGCACATCGATTCTTTCAATTTTTGGATAGGAGACTTTTGGCTCTTAGCAGGAGATATAGATATAATATACTCCCTCTATTTTTATTTATATGTCACAATTTTAAATTTTATGTCCCTTAAAAAATTATGTAAGTTTATAATTGTACTCTTATTTAGTATTAAGTTTTCAATAAATGAACATAAATTAATTTATTTTAACTAATTAAATTGACCAATAAACATGAATTAATTATTTAATTTCCTATATTGGTCAAATTCATACAGGCTAATAACTCTCAAGGGTAAAATAAGAAGAATAGTGTTAATTATGTATTGATTTTGTGAAATAACAAATATTACGAATCAACTATTCTTAATAAGGACAACATATAAATAATAACAGGGAGAGTACATATGTCACGCCTCGAGCCTACACCCTGGACGTGGCCGACACTCGAGAACCATTGTTGGCTCTAAGCGAACCATTGGCCTGGCTTACTTACTCAACGAAAGACTTTACTCAAGATAAAATACTTTAAAAAGTAAACTGAACTGCTCAATAAATAACTTAAAAAGTATAAAGAACATTCACTAGCCAAAATGGCAACTCAAGTCTCAACTTAACTGAAAAGGGAAAGTAAAGACTCATGAACTAACATCAACTAACTCTGTCTATGAAGCCTCTAACCCACGACATCCTAATGAACTAAAATACTGAAAGCAATAAAAAAGATCCTCCGGGAAGGCTCACCAACTGACTCTGAGTGCTCAACTGGATCAACGAGGCGCTGGATGCTGATCCTAGTTACCTGTGTTTGCATCATAAGACGATGCAGGCCAACTGGCATCAGTACATTGAATGTACGAGTATGCGAGTTGGAATGCTAAACATAACTTAAGCTTGAAAATAATCTAAAAGAAACACTTACATTGGCTTTACTCAACTCCTGAATAACTTAACTCAATATAAAGCAATAAAACACATACAATATATAGAAAGCCTTTAAAACAGTAGAAAAACAACTTATTTCGTTAAAGAAAATGCAATAACAAACTCAACTTTACTCATATAAGAAAATAATATAGTTTCTGTGGGAGTTTCTCTAACCGACAACCACCACTATGAGCCTAAGTGGTGATACAACGTCTTGCCCACGCTGCCAGAACTGTCTTATACTTTGCCGTCATATAGAACGCCTTAACTAAGTGGATCCACTAGTCTATGCTAAAAAACACTTAAGGATTCATCTAAAAAGTATGATCTTTTACTACCCATGATGACTACATGGTTTATGGAGACGTGAGTTATCTAAATTCAAACTCGTCCCCATATCGGTGCTCAATACTACTCCCAAAATATACTTTAGCTCATATGTTTGTAAAAACAAAACTCTTTCTTTGGTTTGAGATAATTACTCAAAAACTTGGCTTAAAAGCTCTCTTGAAAATCTTAGTTTCCTTTCTTATTCAATGTGAAAACATTTTAACTTTTGGGAATACTTAGTTCCCGTATAATCTTTGAAGAATGAACTTTACTCTTACTCTTTACTGAAAACTAGCTCAAAAGCTCTTTTGGAAATCTCAGTTTCCTTTCTTGTTTAAATGTGAAAACATTACTCTTTGGGAATACATAGTCCAATATACTCTTTTAAATAAATGACTTCAATCTTTACTCTTTACTCAACTTAAAACTTAAGTCTTAAAACAATGTTAAAACGTTTGTAAAAGACTTTTGAAAAACTTTATGACTTTCTCTTAACTTGACTCTTGACTTCTCTTGACTTGACTCTTAACTTTCTTTGACTTGACTTTTAACTCTCTTGGCTTGACTCTTAGGGGTCGTTTGGTTTGAAAATGAGTTATGATGGGATAAGTTATGTTGGGATAAGTTATGTTGGGATTAGTTATGATGGGATAAGTTGTGTTGGGATTATTTTTTATTGAGTGTTTGGTTTGTTGTATTCAAAATAATAAATTTTAAGAACAATTTATTTGTTTACAAAAATGCCCTTCATTAATGTAAAAAGTGATATAACAAAAGGGTTGAAAGAGACATTTTTGTCATTTACCTATTTTATCCCGGGATAAGTTATCCCGGGATTACTATACCACCCAAGGAGAGGGATAACTTATCCCGGTACTAATTATTAATCCCGGGATAAGTTATCCCGAACTTGCCAACCAAACAACAAAATAAGCGGTACTATAATTTAATCCCGGGACTATTTGTTATTATACCTCACACCAAACGAGCCCTTAGCTTTCCTTGAATTGAATTATGGATTCAATGATTATGATTTGTGATAGGAAAGATATCATGATGTTTATGAATGATTTTAGATGGCTAAACATGAGAATTGTCTGAAAGTAGGTTCGCGACGTGAAGATGTATTTAAATTTTTGATTGTGAAAATAATTTTTGAGGCAGAACAGTCCATGACCGCTCCGCGACGCGAAGAGCTTTTTCTCGAATCTAAGGGGCAGGTCCGCGACGCGGCCCCACTGCCCAGATTCACCCGACTTTTTCCTTTTTCGTTTTCCAGTCTCAATTCGCCTAAACTCGACTATTTTTCTCAAATTCTCTTTAGATTCAGATACCCATCATTTGTACCCAAGAACTTAACTCAAAGCAACTCTAAAACTCGACGTAAAGATCTCAAAACTTCCCAATATCAGCCCAATTCAAGAACGACATCAATTTCAAGAATACACATCAAGAACATCAAACTTTAAACCTTTTTAGAACGAATTTCACTGAACTAAACATGTTTGGCGCGTGGGTGAACGAACCCAACTCTATGAAAGTCTCACATACCTTGTAGGATTAAATCCTTGGCGAAATCCACAACCAAATCGCACAATCTTGGCGAATCTTGAGCTTTTCTTCTCCTTTCTCCTCTTCTCTTGCGCTCTTTCTCCAAAAACCATAACTCTATTTTTTCCGAAGCATAAACTGGATACTATCAGTTTAGACCTTAAAAATATTACCAAAAACGAATTAATTAAGTTGGGTATGGAAAAGAACAAACTACCCTTTCAAAATCCGGATTGGCCTTTTCTTATTCGAACAACCCAACTTTCAATGGGCATATCTCACTCATACAAACTCGGAATCAAGTAAACTTGGCGGCGTTAGAAAGTTAATTCAACGATCTTTCCTACAGTATCTGGAAACACACCTAAATCATCCTGAGCTAGGAGTTATGGTCGTTTGAAGTTGACCCAAAACTCATTCTTAACTTAACTTGAACAAATTTCTAGATTTTCATTATTTCTAATTCTTAGCTTATTCCTAGTTATTTCAATTTGTGAGATGTTACAACATGCATTGTATAGAACTAATTATATGTCCTTACAGTATGCATGGAAACAAACACACAAAGTCAGTTTACTTTTTAAAATAAAAAAAATGTGGGGGGTATGAAGATGTGATTAGCATATATTTATTACTAGTATATTATAAAATCTTACATTTACCCCTCTTTCATCTTTTTTTTTAAAAAAAA